TGTGTGTGTGTGTGTGTGTGTGTGTGTGTGTGTGTCTGTGTGTGTGTGTCTGTGTGTGTGTGCTGCCCGTTTCCTTATTATCCTGGTAGTCTTGACCAAGCCTAGCAACCAGATCATGGAGATGGTCCCCGGACGCTGCTCCTGACAGTTTACCCCAGATACACTGAAGGTCAAATGCAGAGGACAAATATCTCTACGGGGACAATAAAGTGAACCTTAAAAATGCATTGTGTAACTTTTCTGGTGGAGAGTCCATCAAATGCTTTTCTCCATGGAGATGTTATTGCTTTGTCTGGAATGTTTCACGGTATGGTATTAAACCTTTCTGTCTTCATGGAGACCAAACCAGCCCAAGTTACAGGTCAGATCTGTAGAGAGGCGACCCCGCTCACAGTCAGAATCAGTGTTTTTCTAGGTATTTTTGAACTATTAAACCACCTGTAGACGTGTTTAATGGTCAATGGTCACATTTTTCTATAGCGCTTTTCCACCTTCAAGGTGATCAAAGCACTTTACAACAAGGAACCACTCACCCATTCACACACCAGTGTACGCAGACACTGTGGGCAAGGTGGGTTAAGTGTCTTGCCCAAGGACACGACAGCAGCATTCATCTGAGGTCTTATGCAAAATAGATGAGAGGTCTACAGCCAATCCTCTGTGGAATCACACCAGCCAACAACCTGTGGGTCAGTGGATCTGACCGCTCAACCTATGATGTTTTTTTTTTATGTTGAGAGCTGGATTCAAACCGCCAACCTTCAGATCAGTGGGCGAATGCTCTACCAACTGAGCTACTGCCGCCCCAATTAATTGTGTGACAATTAATGTCACACTGTGGAACATTCCAGGAAGAGCAATGACATTTCCATAGAAACAAGCAGGTGACGGACCTCCAACCAAAAAGTTACACAATGCATCTTTAAACTTAACCTTACCTTGCTTGATTTTGCATTTCTTCAAAACAACGATCTGATTTGTGGTAAATCTGATGTGGTTTTTATCACGATACTGAAATTTTAAGCTTGAGTTCAATCCTGAAGAATAGACTCGACACTCAATACTGACTTTGATATATTATAATTTTAAAAGATAATTTTCAGACAATATTGTAATTTTAAACACAAAATGATCGTATAGTATTGTTTATTATACTGAATTTATTTGGATTTGAATATCTTTGTTTGGAGGATAAGCCCCTTGAGATGTTTTGCCATTTCGTTTTTCGAGGGGGTCCTCATTAGTCAGGCTGGTGCCACTAGTCTGCTCAATTTCATTTCTCTCCAGTGACTAGGTCAGGAATCGGAATACACTAGATGGTTTACAAGAACCCCGGAAGTTGTAGACCGCACCCCGACCAGTCAGAGCTGTGAAGTCATGACGTCAAACTCGTGGCGTCTGTCTGTGTCCCTTTTGTGGAACAGCACAACAGTAAACAAAGCATTGAGATGGATCTAAACCAGGAGTGTCAAACATACGGCCCGGGGGCTGGATCCAGCCCTCCAAGACCTTTAATCTGGCCCTCAGCTGATTTTCTACTAAAATATTTAAATTATACTTTCTATTAAAATATTGTTAATTTTCTGTGGTGTTTATCACAGCAGCGTCTCCAGCGTCTCTGTACGTGGCCCCTCCCACCAGAGCAGCACAAATGAAGACTTGTCTCTTTCCAAACGCTCTTAAAGGACGATCGTTTTGACTGTTGACCGTGACACCCTCATCAGAAAAATGTCCAACATGAGAAAAGTGGAGCCGAGTGCAGGATTTTCCAAAAAATATGGACTTATTCCTATTTACATACAAGTTCATTTTAAAACATTGTGTTGAAATTGTATTTTTCTTAAAGTTTCAGGTTGTTCATAATATTATAATATTTTGTAAAAGAAAGAGTTCATCAATTAAAAAAGATTTCTGTAATAGATTTGCATTTCTCTGCACAAATATTTTAACTTCTTGTTATTTTTGGGGTTTATATGACATGAGTTTTCTGATCCGGCCCCTTTGGGATCAAAGTAGGTTGGATACGGCCCCCGAACCAAAATGAGTTTGACACCCTTGATGTAGACGAAGACAGACATGCTGTTGGCAACAATTCCTGAGATCGAGTATTTAAAGCCGGAACAAAGAGAATGTTTGGTGAATTTTGTCAAGAGGAAAGACGCTTATTGTCCTTCTTCCTACAAGATTTGGAGCATTACATACGTCACGACCAAACAGCAGCAATTGGTTAAATTTTTAAAAAGTACCCGCCTACTGTTGAGCGAACAAATTCTAATGCTGCGAGGTCAGACGGTTTCCACTAAGTGAAATCGGAGGGAGCTTTATATTTAAATGAGTTAAATGATTTATACTGTGTGATCTTATATAACTCTAAATTAAGAATATATCAAAACATGTTTGGTTCATGGTTCATGGTTGGTGGCTGGGTGCTCCCTTAGAGACAGGGTGAGGAGCTCAGTCACACGGGAGGAGCTCGGAGTAGAGCCGCTGCTCCTCCACGTCGAGAGGAGCGGCTGAGGCTCGGGCATCTGTTCCAGATGCCTCCTGGGCGTCTCCCTCGGGAGGTGTTCTGGGCATGTCCCACCGGGAGGAGGCCCCGGGGAAGACCCAGGACACACTGGAGGGACTATGTCTCTCGGCTGGCCTGGGAACACCTCGGGGTCCCCCCGGAGGAGCTGGAGGACGTGTCTGGGGTGAAGGAAGTCTGGGAGTCCCTGCTTAGGCGGCTGCCCCCGCGACCCGGCCCTGAATAAGCGGAAGAAAATGGATGGATGGATGTTTGGTTCATCGCTGTGAGTTAGTCTGGTACCAATTAGGGTTCAGTCCAATTTTGAAGAGAGGAAGGTCTTATGCTAAAATAGATGAGAGGTCTACAGCCAGTCCTCTGTGAGGAGTAAAAGCCGTGGTTCAGTGGTTCAGTGGTTTGGAGCAGAGTTCAGACTGAGTGCAGGAGTCTAACCCACAACCTCCTTCCCAAGAGCAGGGGAGAGGGAACCACTCTGCCATGTCTTGTCTTAAAGTTCTTTCAAATTGCCTCTCACTCACGTCTTTGGGGACACACACTGCACACATGAGCAAACACAGCCAGAAAAGTTTAGAAACAATACAAAATAGATTTAAACAGCACATTTTCAAGAGCCTGTCATCAATCTGAGTGTTCATGGACCTGTTGAGGAGTTTGATTTTCAGAAAAACTGTTGGCGATTTCTTGCTTCCTTGTAACTGTCATTTTATGTGTGAGAGACTGGCAAACATCAGCTCACCTGTTGTAGTTCCAGCTCTTTCTGGTCAGATTCTGTTAAAAATGAAGCTCAGATTAAAGTCGAAGAAACCTCAGACAGAGCAGTGCACTAAGTGAGCATTACGTCCTTTAAGTATCTAGACAGTTTTTATTTTTTGGTATTTTTCGGACTGTAAGTCACACTTTTTTTCATGGTTTGGGTGTTTCCTGCGACTTATACTCCGGTGTGACTTACATATTAAAATTTTCAGACTGACAGCCACGAGAGGCTCTAGTCTTGTGTGTCAGTTTTCTGCCCCTGTTTCCTGAAAAACAGCTGCTGTCCTGTGGCAAGTAGTGAAATATTCAGCCGAAAATGGTAATCGAGCAGCAGAAAGAAAGTTTGGAGTGAGTGAGAAACTTGTGAGGGACTGGGGGAAAGCGGGGATGGAGAACACAGCTTCACAGGAACTGGGAGGATGAACCATGAAACTTTCCTTAAGTCACTGGATGGATGGACAAAGCCTGGACTTCAGTGACACTGAAACCATCCTGTCGGGATTCAGAAAGATCCGAATAATTCTAACTGGAAGTGATGCTGAGTCTGACGACAGCGACACAGAAGAGGAAGCGTCGCTCTGTTTACCTCTGGAGGTCGTGGAGTTGTTCAGAAGTGACACCGAGGATGAAGAATTGAATGGATTTAGTGATTTGGAGTGAGATGGAGAGTTTGTTAAACTTGTTCTGTTCTGTTGTTTATGTTATAGTTTATCTGAAGAACTGTTCATATGTGATGTTAACAGCCTGTTGTTCTCTCTTCTATTGTTTTTTGCTAGAACTTGACTTTCAACAGGAAATGTCGGTTCCCGGTCTCTGATTTTATAAAATACATTTCCCCTAAAAAGTGCCATTTATATATGTTTTTTTGTTTTTTTATTTTGTCATTACGCAGTTTTTGGCTGGTGCGACTTATACTCCAGAGCGACTCATAGTCCGAAAAATACGGTGGACTAGGTGCAGACTGCTGAACCTAGTCCACCGACTTTTTGGCCCCTATGCTCTTGTATCATGTGACCCAGGACACTTGGATATGTGCTCTTAAAACCGATACATATCTGATCTTTTGACATGCGACTTCAGTCTGAACGGTCAGGTCACATTCATCCCACCTACACGTCAGGCTCAGAGTCTCGTCAATGGAGGGAAAGAGAGGTTAGCGAGTTTATTAATATTTGGGGGGATCGTTGTATTCAGGACAAATTGAAGGGGTCTTATCGGAACTGGTCATTTTTTGAAATGATTGTCAAAGAAATGTCTGAGCGCTGCTACAGACGTTCCTGTCCCCAAGAGCCTGCAGGTCAAATACAAGGAGGCTAAAGACTCAAACAAACGAAGCGGCCGTAGATGTGTAACCTGTCCATTTTACCAAGAACTGGACCCTATTTTGGGAGAAAAGCTCGGCGTTTTGGCAATTTCCGTAAACACTGAGCACACTCGCTGTGTGTGACGTCGACGTGTCCACCAATGTGCATGTGGGACACTTTTGGGGTGTTTAAAGTTCACACTGAAGGTCACACACAAGTTGCATTTAGCTGGAAATGTGAACGACCTCGCAAAAAATCTGATTTCACAAAAAAATCCGAATTGAGCATTAAGTCTTGCAGTCTGAACGTAGCCTTAGATTAGAAGATGTATTTTGACACGTTCTTTATTTCGTTGTTTTCTTTTGTTTCAGTAAACTCCAGTCCTCTCCTCGCCCCCCTCCCTCCTCTTACCCACAATGCCGATCATCAGCAACGCCAACCATGACTTCAGCACGTACTCGGTCAGCAGTGATGACAGCAGCGTGGACCGATTCTTCACCGAAATCCCAGAGACTGAAACCATTAAAGGGGTGTACTACCAACGAGCACGACGTCTATGGGACCATAAGGCCACAGCGCGAGTGGACCACAGCCTGCAGGTACACGCTTCACATTCACTTTTACGACTAGAGTGAGAAGAAACATCAGGATTTTTAGATTATTTATGTTTATGTTGACACTAGTGATTGAACGATATGAGTTTTTTCATGGCCAATGCCGATACCGATTGTCTAGACTATGGATGTGATCCACATTTTTCAATGCCGATACTTTGGCTTTAAGTATCTGTCGATATCTGATATCAACCAAAATAGGGGCAGAGACCGTAAATTAAGGCTGTGCAATTAATTGAATTTTGATTGTGATTTTGATTTGTGTAACAAACGATCTCCAAACTCATATAATCGAGTTGAAACAAGTTGAAGCTTTGTTAAAGCTTAACAAAGTTTATTTTCAGTTATTTTCATGTATTATTAAATGAAATTAATTATTAAGTTATTAAAATGTTGCATTTTTTTTATTTGATAAAAATAGAGATTGTAGAACAGCTTGATATATAGTTTATTTTGGATACATGTTTTCTTATGCCTTATTTCATGTTCAAAGTATATTTTATTAATTTTATGTTTTATACATCATTAAAATGCTCTAAGGTTCATATAGCCATAGGTTCATGTAGCCTATATTTATTTTCAATTTGAAAGTTTTGCATAAATTATCAATAACAAAATGTTTTTTTAAGAGAAAAATGCAGAAAAAATGCATTGTGTTACTAGAAAATAATCTTTTGAATAAAATAATCGTGATAATGATTTTTTTCCATAATAGTAGCTCTACTGTAAATATAATTTATTTCTTTTAAGCACAAATGGAGTACAGGAAAAAAATTATCCAAATGTGTTTTGAAACTACAGAACAACTCTGAAAAATACATGTTTGGGACCAATATTGGTAAATCATCTGATGACACCAGTTTCTAGACCAAAATATAATATCAACTGAACCAATATCTTGGAACTGAGATATGATAGACTCCAGAACAGCCCATGGCCGATATTTGTGGACCGATATGCAAATCTGATTTTGATTATTTTCCCTAAATGATCATCAACAAACTGGTTTTACTACAAAGTGGATACAAGAGCAGTGTCCTCTTTGTAGTAAAGTAAAGTCTTTAGTAGTTGGCCCAAACAAAATATCTGCCTTTGTAAGGGATTTAGGGTCAATACGCTAAAAAGTGCAAATATCTGTCAACTGTAATTAACACCATCCACCGTGTAACTTTTCTAGTAAATGGCACCTGCATGTCTGTATGGAGATGTTATTGTGTTGTTCAACATGTTATTGTGTTGAAAGGTGGACCCTCTGTTTACTTGTTTTGAGCCTAGATTCAATTGAAACCAAATTATAAAACTCACTATTATCTTTTAAAGCTTTTCATGACTATATTGACATTTTTAATCATGTTTTTTGATGTCTTGATGTTTTTTTGCAGGTTCTGATAAACGTCGGGGGGAACCGTTACGCGTTCCCCTGGTCGACCCTGGAGCAGTTTCCTCAGAGCAGACTGGGCCGGCTCAGGTTCTGCTCCAGCCCAGAGGAGATCTCCAGACTCTGCGACGACTACGACGAGACCAGGAAGGAGTATTTCTTTGACCGCAACCCGACCGCCTTCAGGTACACAGACTCTGAAGGATCGATATTAGTCACATTAAGATCATAGACTGTTTTTATGAATGGACGTCATCATTTTGGTCTTAAAATGTTCATGTTAACCTGCTCTACGTACATGACGCTGGGGTTTTTATTTTGCGATGGTTGACGTCACACTCCCTCAGTCCACTTCTTTACACAGTCAGTGATTAAGGCCCATTAAGTTAAATTAAAGTCTTTTGCATAATTTCTCCTTCAAAATTAGCAGAGAGATTACAGTGAGAATACAGAGGTGCAGAGTGAACAAAAACACAAAAGAACGATCTTATAACCTTGTCATTAAAGTCATTAAAGTGCTTATTAATCACATTTGAGTTTATTTCTCCAGCGCATTTCATAGTTAAAGATGGATTTATTCAGTTCAAGGTATTTCTGTTGCCTTAAAAATAAAATAAAGCCTTCTCACTTCCAGAGTCGTTTCTCCACAGAGCTGGACCTGGTGGCAGTACCTGCATTTTTCTATGAAGATAATTAGGGCTGAACGATTTTAAGAATTTAATTGTGATTTTTCTGGCAGATATTGTGATTTCGATTTCATCAAGTTTCAGTGCACATGAGCATTTGCAAACATCACAGAAACTTACATCACACCAGAGTCCTACACTGATGATTTGACGCTGGACCGTAAAGCCCAGTTTAAGGTCCATCGTCAAATCGTCTGCCTCAGGATACGGAGAGTCTGCGTCGACGTGAACCCACTACACAGACCGTCTCCGCCGACCAACGTACACCTCAGAAATGTTCTAACTACGAGTCAAAACGATGCAGACAGAAGTGGAAGCGACGCAAACGATAACGGCCACGATTGGTCCTTTCTACATCCTCTACATACATTTCCTGTTTCCTCTTTCTTTTCGTTCAGTATACACTGAGTAATAACGTGTTTAATGCAGCTTTGCGCACATTTGTTGTCATTTTACGGAAACGAAACTTAAAACCACATGACTCATTTACACAAACTGTAAGAGCTGAAAAAAACTGCTTACTCCTTGTGTCGCTGATGTGGTTCAGCTTCTGTCGGACTGAAGGACACGACTCAGGGGAATATGAGTGTTCTTTCTGTGACAGAGGATGTGCTGCTGATGGTGAGTTGTTCTGTGCTTCTATCGCGTTACAGATGGTTCATGTTAAACTTTACACGAACGCCTCGCATTGTGGTGGTGAATTATTTTGTGGTGCATAGACCTTGACGCAGATCTATAAATCCATAAACTGGGCTTTAGGAGCACTGCAAAAATACACAACTTTAACGCTCCCAGAATCGTGTTGTCTGAGATCACCATTTTCAGTCCAAAACAATCGTTCAGCCTTAAAGATAATACATTTCTTCACATACTGAAGAACTTTCAAGCATAGAAATACTATCTCCATGGAGACAAACAGGTGATGGATGCCCAGCAGAAAAGTTCCATACTGACCACTATTGTTAATCTGTGGATAGAGCTGGTCAAAAAAATAGTTCAGTTTTTCACATTTTTAGGACAATAAAATCAGGTAAAGTGCTTCTAATATGTCATTTTCCTGTTTCCTCTTCTCAGGGTGATCCTAAACTTCCTGGCGGCGGGGAAGCTCCGCCTCCTCCGCGAGCTGTGCGCCGTCTCGCTCCACGATGAGCTGGACTACTGGGGCGTGGACCCGGCCCACATGGAACGCTGCTGCCGCCGAAAGATGATCACCCGAGTGGACGAGAAGATGGAGAAGGACCGAAAAGACGAAGAGTGGAGACAGAAGAAGTTCATTATGCAGAGGAAGAGCCTGGACATCGGGCAGGGCTATCACAGGTAGGGGGCGCTCTACTGACAGAAATGATGCTAAAATTTGTCAAATGCAGGACAATACAGGATTAAAAGCATAAAATATGAAGTAAACAGCCATTTGAATGAATTAAAGTAAAGAATACACAATGTTTTCATATGTAATTGACTTCAGATTGACGCGTCTCCCTCTTGTGGCCTCAGGGTGGTGTGGATGGTGCGTGAGATCATGGAGAACCCTCACTCTGGAATCCCCGGGAAGATCTTCGCCTGTTTGTCCGTCATCATGGTGGTGGTGACCGTGGTGAGCCTCTGCATCAGCACCATGCCGGACCTGAGGGCCGAGGAGAAGAAGGTGAGACCTGCTTTTAATGTGTGCACTTTCAACTTTAAACATGAAACTATGGGGCGAAATCTACACAACTACAGACACGTGGGAGAGTGGGGACCTAAAAACTCTGGAGGACTAAAGGGAGAGTGAGGGGGGAGGAGGGGCGGAGTGTGGAGGTGTAAGGAACAGTGTGATTGGTCTAACAGGTTTCCACACTTCAGACTCCGCCCCTGCACCCAGGTGTTTGTATCAGAACCACCTGGCTGTAACCAAGGCAGTGCTGTGTGATGTCACATAGTACTTGAAATAATAATATTAAGTCTTTTTTATACAATAATGATAGATAATGATATTAAAACACCATATACACAATTTAGTAGCAAAAATGAGTTGATTTTGTGCTTCATTTCACTTTAAACCCAGGATAAAACACATTATGATTAGTATTTTAGTGTATTTAGTATCATATGATATGAAAAACAAAAACTGAGTACAAATGTGACTCCAGTGAGTCTGTGGCTGCACTGACCTGGTGCTGATCAAAGCTGCAGCTCCTCTGAGCTCTGCACGTCTGAGAGGCGCCTGGTTTACTTTGTTCACAAACATCAAAAATGACCTTCACACATTTGAATGTGATACTTCAACACACATATACCACTACTCACATATACTACTACACACATACACTACTGTACACATATACAACACACTAGGGATGGGCATTCGATGAAATTTTCTTAATCGATCGTCGGAAGAATTAACGATCGATTATCGATTAATCATTAACGTGTAACGTATTAAAATGATCATCATTATTATTACTATCTGCACTACTAATCTGCATAAATACATTTAACTTTACGACATATAAACCGTAACGACTCTAGAGCCACATCAATCCGTTTCAGATTATAATGTGTTTAATTCAGTTTAGCGCAACTCTCACAGAAACAAAACTTAAAACCGCATTGCTAATTTGCAAATTACGATAAAACTACAGCTCTTGTGTCGCTGATGTGGTTCAATTTCTGTCGGATTAAAAGACATGACTCAGGTGAATACAGGTTAGTGTGACCAGATTTGCGTTTGTCAAAACCAGGACAGCGTACGGGGGGAGGGGGCGGGACTCGTCATCCACATTGAGCGACTCTCACCTGGTAAAACTTTTTCCCACTGGACACAGAAACATATGTTCCTGCTTTATACACTGTGCACATGGACTCACACTTGTCCCGAACGCAACGGAAAGTGTGGAATTTCTTGTACAAATCATCGTTAAATCCACATTTGTGCTTCGGTACGTTGCAGACTGACCGAATGTTTGTGTCTCGCTCCTTCTGATGCAGAGACACATGTACACACCTGTTTGGTCACGACACACACAGCAACCTACATTCGATTTGTCGATTAAAATTAACGTAATCGATGAAATTCTTAATGATCAATTATCGATTAATCGATTAATCATGCCCATCCCTACAACACACACATACACACTGCAGTATGAGGACAGTGAAGCTGGGGCTCTCTGATGGAAATATGTCAAACTGAATTTTTCAACCACATTTAAGTCGACCTCATATACAAAATGGACTTTTGTGTTGTATCCAAGTTGTATTGAGAGTGATTCATGCTTGTTAGTAAACGTTATACTTCTGTATTCAAGATCATTGCTCTGTTCAACTTTGTTTTCACCGCCGCCGGGACACGCCCACTGTGACGTACTATTTTCAGGCTAGTTTGATCTGCAGATATCCATCGGAGGGGCCAACAGCCGAGCAGCTCTTTGTTGTGACATTTACAGTGACGTCAGCTCCCACTGGGCAGTTTTCTAATGTTTGTTGTTTCAGATGAATATTCCGATTTAAAGGGACAGTTTGGTATTTTGGACATAGGGCCTCATTTCCTCGTGAGCCAGAGTGTTGGAGACGTGTGAAGACACTTTTTAAAATATTCCATCCAGTCCTTGTATTTGCAGAGGTCACTGGTGTTAGACTAGTGCACGTCAATGGTCATAGTTATCCTGCCACTAAAAACAGTCTTACCCACTCCACAAAACACCCGAAACAAATCTATTATTACGCAAGACTGTCCATGTAAACGTCTGGGTCGATAGAATAATTTTAGAAGTAAAACCAACGCATTTGAAGGATTTATGTCTGAGCAGCAGCAGTGAGTTGTTCTTCCTGATAGAAAGCTCGGCAGCGGCGGAGTGATCTATGAGAAAATAGTCCCTCAACATGCGACGATTCATGCGATGCAAGATTAGTTTTATTTCAGACATTATTCTATCGACACAGACATTTACATGGACAGTCTGGTGTAATAATAGATTTACTGCGGGTGTTTTTAGTGGCAGAATAACTATGACTATTAAAATGTCTAAATTATAACATAATGATCCAAACGTTTAGATTTTAATAGATTATACTTAAACTATATAGCGGACACAAGCATAAAATGTCTTCTTATAGGCAAAGTATGTAAAGTGTCTTGCCCACGGACACTGAAGCACTGAAACGGCACATAGACTTGTGAAAGGTAAAGCAGGTGGCGGTCGCTCCCCAAAAAAAGTTACATAGTGGAGCTTCAATGTTGAACAGGCTCTTGATTTTAAAACCTAAATCTATAATGACCTGAATTACGATGTTTTTCAGAACATGGGTTGGGCTTTTATCACTGTCTCCTCTTTGAAAAATATTTACTGAGAAAAAGTGTGATACTCTAATACAATTTCAGCGTCTGCATTTCAAAACAAATTCCCCTTCATCTCAGTGTTAAAGGCTCGCGACTACTACACGTCGTGAGTCTCGTTGTTTACCCGGGTCTGTTGTTGGGGAGATCAGGTTCCCCTTAAGTGACGAGGAGGATTGATGTGTTGTGTTTCACTGTAATCTAAAACAGATCAGGTTTCTGAGGAAATGGCGGATGGGGTTCCCTCCGGTGCTTTCCGTCAATCCTTCTCGTCAAGTCCAGCCCACAACCTTTTACCAAAGAGGCCCAGAGGAAGAGCCGAGGAGCAGAGGAGGAAGAGGAGAGGGTCAGATTATGTAGAAGATGCAGAGGACAGGGTCAGAGGAGCGGAGGCTGTAGATAAGATGTAGATGGAGCAGGGGATGCAGAGGAGAGAGTCAGATGGAGGGGAAGAGAAAAAGAGAGGATTATTGGAGCAGAGGATGCAAAAGAGGGGATGAGATGGAGCAGAAGAAGCAGAGGAGAGGGTCAGATGGAGAAAATGATGTAAAAGAGAGGATCAGATGGAGTAGAGGATTGAAAGGAGGTCATCAGATGGAGCAGATGATGCAAAGGAGAGAATCAGATGGAGCGGAAGAAGCAGAGGAGAGGGTCAGATTGTGTAGAGGATGCAAAGGAGAGGGTCAGATGGAGGATCAAATGGAAAGTAGAGGGTCAGAGGAGCAGAAGAAGAAGAAGAAAAGAGGGTCAGTTGGGGAAAAGGACGCTAAAGAGAGGATCAGACGGAGCAGAAGATCGAGAGGAGAGAATCAGATGGAGTAGAGGATGCAAAGAATAGGGCCAGGTGGAGGATCAAATGGAAAATAGAGGGACAGAGGAGCAGAAGAAAAAGAAGAGAGGATCATATGGAGCAGAGGAGGAATAGGAGAGGATGCAGAGGAGCAGACGATTGAAAGGAGAAGGTCAGCTGGAAGGGAGGATGCAGAGGAGAGGATGATGGAGCAGAAGAAGCAGAGGAGAGGGTCAGAGGAGCAGAGGATGCAAAGAGGGCAAGGTGGAGGATCAGACAGAGGATCAGATGGAGCAGAGGATCGAGAGGAGAGGGTCAGAGGCGTAGAGGATGTAGAGGAGAGAATCATATGGAGCAGAAGAAGCAGAGAAGAGGGTTATATGGAGAAAAGGATACAAAATAGGAGGGTCAGAGGAGCAGAGGATGGAAAAGAGAGGATCAGATGGAGCAAAGGATCGAGAGGAGAGGGTCAGATGGAGCAGAGGATGCAGATGAGAGGATGATGGAGTAGAGGATGCAAAGAAGAGGGCCAGGTGGAGTGATCCTCCACATGGAAAGTAGAGGGTCAGAGGAGCAGAAGAAGAAGAAGAAGAAGAGTGGGTTAGATGGTGAAAAGGATGCAAAATAGGAGGGTCAGAGGAGCAGGGGATGGAAAAGAGAGGATCAGATGGAGCAGAGGATCGAGAGGAGAGGGTCAGATGGAGCAGAGGATACAGAGGAGCAGAGGATTGAAAGGAGAAGGTCAGATGGAAGGGAGGATGCAGAGGAGAGGGTCAGATGGAGGGGAAGAGAAAAAGAGAGGATGATGGAGCAGAGGATGCAAAAAAGAGGATCAGATGGAGCGGAAGAAGCAGAGGAGACGGTCAGAGGAGCAGAGGATGCTAAGAAGAGGGCAAGGTGGCGGATCAGATAGAGGGTCAGAGGAGCAGAGGATGGAAAAGAGAGGTTCAGATGGAGCAGAGGATGCAGAAGAGCAGAAGATTGAAAGGAGAAGATCAGATGGAGGGGAGGATGCAAAAGAGAGGATGAGATGGAGCAGAGGAGGAAGAGGAGAGGATCAAATGGAGTAGAGGAGAGAAGAAGAGGAGCAGAAGATGCAGAGGAGAAGATCAGATGGAGCAGAGGAGCAGGTCAGATGGAGAGAAAGATGCAGAGGAAAGAGTCAGAGGAGTAGAAAATGCAGAGGAACCGGTCAAAGGAAGGAAAGGAGAGGGTCAGATGGAGCAGAGGAGAGAAGAAGAGGAGCAGAAGATGCAGAGGAGAGGGTCAGATGGAGCAGAGGGTCAGAGGAGTGGGTCAGACGGAGGGGAGGATGCAGAGGAGAGGACAGAGGATTCCAGAGCTCATTTGCCTGCTTTGTGTTTGTTCAATAGTTCAGATCAATCCCTTTTTCTCTGGAGTGAGGATGAGCAGAATTGCCTCTCCGCTGTTCGGTCAGGACCAGTCGAACTCGCTCATTTCATTCAGACTTGACATTTGCCAGAGTCCTCCTGAGTCCTCCCTCACCGTCTGCTCCAGATGAACACACACACACACACAACGACACACACACGACACACAACACTGAGGAGAAAAACACAATCTGGCTGTTCTCTGTTGTGGCCTATACCCCCCTCCCCATTTTAAAGGCTCATATTACACTATTTTCTGGTGCTATAATGTCGTTTCCTCATCACAAACAGATCTGGGGTTGTGTTTTTGTTTCATTCACACGTTTAACACACAAAGAGTTCTTCTCTGAAACGGAAAACACTCTGTTCCACCTTGTGACAGCAGTAGTTGGTCGAGCGTTTGTTCACTGATCCGAACGTTGGCAGTTTGAATCCTGCTCTCATTGTCACTGCTAAATCACACTTTTTTTCACTGGCTTTTAACAAGTGAGATGTACATTTCGTGTTGCTGAGTATTTTATTGTTTTCTGTGATTTTTAGTGGTTGTATTGTGACTTTGACTGTGATTGTCCTTGTCTATTCTGTGATTGTGTGCAGCACTTTGTCCAGCTGTAAAGTGTTTAAAGTGCTTTATAAATAAAGTTGTTATGGTAACATCATTGTGCAAGACACTTAACCACCTCGGCCCGAGCGTCTGCGTACACTGGAGTATGAATGTGTGTGTGTGTGTGTGTGTGTGAATGTGTGAGTGGTTCCTTGTTGTAAAGAGCTTTGAGCCTTGAGGAAAAGTGCTGTATAAAAATGTGACCATTTAAACTCCACAAACTTTCACTAGAATCATTTGGATCATTTCAGCCACAGACCTGCCAATTTCTACTGAACTAAAGGTAAAAGGAGCTGTTAACTTGAAAACTACCACTTCATGACATCACAAGGTGGAACAGAGCATTTGGAGATTTGGAGATGGTCCCGGTCAAGCAGAAGTAAACAGCAAGACCAAAAATTCAAGTTAATTCATCTGATATAAAAATGTATTGAACAGATACATATGTACTCTAGTTTATGAAACTGTTGACCTTTTTTCTGTACCATTTTTGGTTCTAAAGTTTCATACGTTTTAAACAGACCATGTATGAAACATGGAACAAAAAATATTTCCCAAATTTCAAAGACCTGCAAATCATGTAAATAAATGGATGTATTTCATCATATCTTGTGTTATTCCATCTTTGAACTGTTGATGAAGGTACATGATTTTTCAAAAAAAAAAAAAAGTATTTAAAATGATAAAAATTAGCTTGGAAGGACTGACATATTTTATAGAAATAGTTTCCTTTCATTTTGAAGTAATATTAAAGTATTCGGAAGAAAAAAGTGACAAATGATGTAAAATCCTGCACCTTCTACTTGTTTGCACAATTTTCCCTCCGTTACTTTTCCCTCCGTTACCATGACCTTTATTAATAAAAAATCTCATGAGTCAAAAAGTAAAAGGTTTTTCAACCTAATCTTGTACCATATGGTAGAAAACTATATGAAGCAAATATTCAAACCAGTTTGTTAAGGATATGTAAGTGAGAACCAAGAGTTATCACTGTTTGGATTTATTGCCAAAAAGTGCTGCATATTTCATTCCCTCCGTTACCGACATGAGTTTAAAAAAAAATTTGTCAACAACTTGAAAGAATATCACAGGTTTAACTTGACCCTGTTGGAGTGTAACTCTTTCCTACATTCTGATACTTTACTTATTTCAATAGTCCCTCTAGTTTCTGAATAAGAGACATTTGAATGTCAAAAATCTGCCCCTGTTTCCCTCCGTTACCACTTGACTGGACCCAGATGTAAACAGACCAATAATAAGAATTACTCAAACATGAATGAAACAAAACACAGCTCAATTTAAAAAAAATAAAAAATTATACAGCAGTTGGAATACCATATAAATATATCAAATGTACATTTACATAAAAACATGTACTAATAACACATCTATGGATTCCTGAGAAAGTTTATTAAAGGTGTTCATACCTCTTCAAATTATTGTGCTTTACCTCTTATGATATAGGTCAGCGTTTCCACTGTAAAAAACGTTCAGACCACGACGTCAGAAAACACCCTGCACGCCTCTATTTGGACACCTTTACATTTGAGTTTAGAAGCCTCCAATGTGTGTCTCGGACGGTGTGGACGAATGGGAGAAAAATACTTGACGTGTGTCCGTTGCCCTGGAAACAAGTGCCATTTCCCGGTCTTTTCCCAGAACGATGGACCAAGATGAGAGAGACTTTAGTGTATTTATTACATAAAACCATCAGCGGAGGTGATCGACTCGGCGGCTGCAGCGTGTTTATATTTATACTCAGTTAATGACACACTAATGACACTGTTTAGTCCTGGTTTAGTCCTAGTTTAGACCTGGTCCGGTCTTGATGTAGTCCTGGTGATCAACTCGGTGGCTCTGGTGTGTATATATTTATACTCAGCGAATGATACTGGTTTAGTCCTGCTTTATTTTTGGTCCAGTCCTGGTTCAGTCCTGGTTCAGTCCTGGTCCAGTCCTGGTTGAGTCCTGGTTTAGTCCTGGTCCAGTTCTGGTTTAGGCCTTGACGCCTGGTCTGAACAGACCTTAACACACGTCACATTGTCATTTCTCTTATCCAGGACTCTACTCCAGGTCTGTTTTTGAGGAGGTAACAACATTATAATGACTCAAAGACAATTTTGCATAATATAAGACCTTTAATAAATATGTTTTTCTTCTTCTCTGTTCTCTCTGTTCAGGGCGAGTGTTCTCAGAAGTGCCATAGCATGTTCGTGGTGGAGTCCATCTGCGTGGCTTGGTTCACGTTCGAGTTCCTCCTTCGCTTCATCAACGCTCAGAGCAAGCTGGACTTCGTGCGCGGGCCTCTCAACATCATCGACGCCGTGGCCATCCTGCCCTACTACGTCTCCCTGGTGGTCGACCTCCGCGAGCCCAGCCCCGAGGAGCTCCATCTGGGCATCACGGCGAGCGCGGGGCGGGGCTACCTGGATAAGCTCAGCCTCATCCTCCGCTTGCTACGCGCGCTGCGAATTCTCTACGTGATGCGGCTCGCCAGGCACTCCTTGGGTCTACAAACGCTCGGGCTGACCATGCAAAGAAGTATGCGCGAGTTTGGCTTGCTGCTGCTGTTCGTGTGCGTCGCCGTCGCGTTGTTTTCGCCGTTGGTGCACTTGGCGGAAAGCGAGCTGGCGCCGTTCACCGCCACGCCCCATCACCACTCGTTCAGCAGCATCCCGGCGTCCTACTGGTGGGCGATTATTTCCATGACGACGGTGGGGTACGGGGACATGGTGCCGAGGAGCATACCGGGACAGATCGTGGCGCTGACGAGTATCCTGAGCGGGATCCTGATCATGGCGTTCCCGGCGACGTCGATATTCCACACGTTTTCCCGGTCGTACCAGGAGCTGAAGGCGGATTACGATCGGCTGTGGAAGGAGGAGGAAGAGGAGGGGGCGGAGGGAGAAGGGGAGAAGAGCCAAGATGGAGGACAGAGTTCAGATCAAGATCAGCTCCTGGCGGAAACCAGAGGAGACCAGGAGGCGATGAGGCAAAACGCAACTCTTCCTTCGACGGCTTTTTAAACGTTTTTGGTCTTTGTCGGGTTTCAGACGACGTCACACGATTTTATAGGCCAAAAATACTGAAAACAGATGGAGGCAGCTAATTAATATTGTTAAAGGACATTCTATTCTGCAAAATCTACATGTTATACCGTATTTTCGGACTATAAGTCGCTTCGGAGTATAAGTCGCACCAGCCAAAAATGTGTAATGAAGAAGAAAAAAACATGGTAACACTTTATAATAACTACACCTTATTTAGCCTTAATAAAGCATGAACAAAGACTTAATTAATAATGAACAAAGACTTAATTAATAATGAGTCACGCTTAGTAACTACTTAATTACGGCCTTAATTAGCACTTAACTTGCACTTAACTCGCCTGTGCTGTAAATAGTTACTCATAATTATTTCATACTTAATTACTCATGAACTAACCATTTGAACCAACCATTATATTTAAGTACAAATTTGAGCGTTTATTGATGATTAGTAAGCTATGAGAGATTGATTTACTAATAATGCAATGCAATGATAATTCCGGCTGTTATCAGTTAGTTACGTCTTTTTGAGAGCTTTTCTAACGTGAAGAAATAATTATGAGTAACTATTTACAGCACAGGAGAATTAAGTGCAAGTTAAGTGCTAATTAAGGCAGTAATTAAGTAGTTACTAAGCGTGAATCATTATTAATTAAGTCTTTGTTCATGCTTTATTAAGGCTAAATAAGGTGTAGTTATTATAAAGTGTTACCAGAAACATAAATAAGTCCCACTTTTTAGGGAAAATGTGTTTTATAAAATCAGAGACGAGGAACCGATATTTGGTCTTGAAAGTCAAAATCTAGTAAAAACAGTAGAAGAGAGAACAACAGACTGTTAACATCACATTTGAACAGTTCTTCAGATAAACTATAACATAAACAACAGAACAGAACAAGTTTAACAAACTCTCCATCTCACTCCAAATCACTAAATCCATTCAATTCTTCATCCTCGGTGTCACTTCTGAGCCACTCCTCGACCTCCGGAGGTAAACAGAGCGACGCTTCCTCTTCTGTGTCGCTGTCGTCAGACTCAGCATCAGTTCCAGTTTGAATTATTCGGTGCTTGCTGAATCCCGACAGGATGATTTCGCTGTCGCTGAAGTCCAGACTTTGTTCATCCATCCAGTGACTTCAGGAAAGTTTCATGGTTCATCCTCCCGGTGACACAAGTTTCTCTCTCACTCCAAACTTTCTTTCTGCTGCTTGATTATAATTTTCGGCTGAATATTTCACGACTTGAAGCAGGACAGAGGCTCTTTCTGCAGGAGACATGCGCAGTAGAAGTGACAGTGGTGCAGGAGGAACAGGAGCAGCAGATACTGACACACAAGACTAGATACTCTCACCTCTTTACTCTCAACATTTTAATATATAAGTCGCAGGAAATACCTAAACCATGAAAAAAAGTGCCACTTATAGTCTGAAAAATACGGTAATTGTTTTCTCACTGTTGTATTTAGAGTGAGTCGTGCATTTTCGAGTAATCGTCATTCTTCTGTATCCAAGACGTCATTATTCTGATCAACCCCAGTTCTCACCGTAATCAGAACTCACCCACTGTGACGTACGCACTTTGTTCTCCAATTTTATTTTCTCAACCGTAGGATTCGGATACGCTCGTTCATCCCAGATTGATCTGCGTATCACATAATCAATCTGGAACGGCTCGGAGTGAAGGCGATCGGAAAACGCAGAACTCCGTGACGACTGTTTGAACCTGATCGGTCGAAGCGTCACAGCAGCGGAACAAGACGAAAAATCAAACTTTTCTTTAATCCAGTTGAGAGAAAAGCTCAGACCTGTTTGTCCCTGTCCACAAATGCACAAAACTCTTACCTTCTGCACATTTTCGCAAACTAAATAGTCCGTATTAACGCTCAAATAGGCTGATGGCGGCGTCGTGTTTGTTTTGATTAATTTGGGGGTCATGAGGGATGTAACAATAACCAAAATATCGTGCTATCGTATTGTCAAAAGTCTCACAATATATCGGATTACAGTTCTCTTTGCTTAAATTCTTTGTTATGGTAGAGCATCAACTAAAAAAACCAACACAGACCATGAAGAAATGACGTTATTAAGCACTTTTAAATCTTAGTTCTTTGGATGATGACAGAAAAGACAGACTAAAGGATTATCAAAGTAGCCTGATTCATCAACCGGTTTAACTTCGTGAAAACCGTCTGACCTCGCAGCATTAGAAATCATTCGCTCGACAGTAGGCAGGTACTTTTTAAATTTAACCAATCTCTGCTATTTGGTCATGACGTATGTAATCCCAAATCCCGTAGGAAGAAGGACAATAACGTCTTTCCGCTTGATAAAATTCAACAAACTTTCTCTTTGTTCCGGCTTTAAATCCTCGATCTCGGGAATCGTTGCCAACACGGAATGTATATTCCTTCTCTGATTGGCTGGTGCCCGAACTTGCACTTCCGGGGTTTTTGTGAACCGTCTAGTGTATTTTGATTCCTGATCTAGTCACTGGAGAGAAATGAAATTGAACAGAGGCACCAGGTGGCATCAGCTTGGCTATTATCAAAAGGAAAACACTATTAAAAGGAAAACAGTCGCATATTCACGATTTTGTCAGCCTCTCCACAAAATATCTCAGTAAATATCGTACCGTGACATACATATCGTGAAAATATCGTATCGTATTGAGGGATTTGGATATTGTTACATCCTGAGGTGTCAAAGATTATAACGATATAGCAAAGAAAAGCACAATATGTTTTCTTTAAAATGCAAATTCTGAGGTTATACAGTGAGTTACTAGCCTGATTCATCTGCCAGTTTTACTTATTTCGTTCGCTCAACAGTAGGCAGGTACTTTTTTAATTTAACCAATCGCTGCTATTTGATCGTGACGTATGTAATGCACCGCTAACGGGGTTAACTTGTATATTAAGCTTTTCCCAAATCCTGTAGGAAGAAGGACAATAACGTCTTTCCCCTCGATGGAATTCATCAAACATTCTCTTTGTTCCGACTTTAAATCCTCGATCTTGGGAATCGTTGACAACACTAAATATTTGGCTCTTCGCTGAAGAGGCTGGTGCCCAAACTCGCACCTCCGGGTTTTTTGCAAACCGTCTTGTGTATTCCGATTCCTGATCTAGTCGCTGGAGAGTTGAAATTGAGTAGAGGCACTAGGTGGCACCAGCCTGGCCACTATCAAGGCATTTTAAAAGGAAAACAATCGCATATTCACAATTTTGTCAGCCTCTCAACAAAAAATTGCAGTAAATATCATACCGTGACATGCATATCGTGAAAATATCGTATCGTATTGAGGGATTTGGATATTGTTACATCCCTAGGTGTCAAAGAGTATAACTATATAGCAAACAAAAGCACAATATGTTTTCTTTAAAATGCAAATTCTGAGGTTATAGAGTGAGTTACTAGCCCGATTCATCAGCCAGTTTTACTTCGTCAAACTCACACTTCCATGGTATTTGCAAACCATCTTGTGTATTCTGATTCCTGACCTAGTCACTGGAGAAAAATGAAATTGAGTAGAGGCACTAGGTGGCGCCAGCGTGGCTACTATCAAGGCATTTTAAAAGGAAAACAATAGCAAACAAACCACAAAATATTGCAGTAAATATTGTACCGTGACATGTATATCGTGAAAATATTGAGGGATTTGGAAATTGTTACATCCCGAAGTGTCATAGATTATAACAATATAGCAAACAAAAGCACAATATGTTTTCTTTAAAATGCAGATTCTGCGGTTACACATTGAGTTATAGGGTTTAGTCACTACTTTATTTCGTCAAGTTTTTTTTTTGTGAATTTGTCTTTTGTCATTTCCTTGGAAAGTATAATGTATCAACAAGGAAAAACAGGTCTTTTCAGCCCCGCTTAGGAGTAGGACGTCATCACACACGAGACTGTGATCTTTGACGTCACCTCCGCCCACTTTTTTAAATTCGATGTGGATGAAGTGATTTATCTAAAGACAGTGGCAGAGTGCGTTGCTGGTAAGAGCAGGAATCAAACCTTCAACCACATGTTTTGTTGGTCAGTATATCTACAAACTCAGATGGACAGCAACGCTCTAGACCAGGCGTGTCAAACTCAAATTCACAGAGGCCAAAATTAAAAACTGGGACTAAATCGTGGGTCAAACAAAAAATTTATTGAAAAATTTCACCAACATCTGCATGTTTTCTCTTCTTTTAAAATATGTAATTTTAAACCTTTTCTTATAAAAATAAATGTTTAATAATAGTTTTGCATAAACACTCAATCCAAGAATTAATATACAAAAATAATAACAAGATTTTAAATAAATAATGTCTCTATAGTCTATCTGTAGCCGGCGGGCAGCTCTAATACAGATTTGATATGATCTCACGAGTCAAGTATAATTATGTCGAGGGCCAAATTTGACCCCGCGGGCCTGAGCTTGACACGTCTGGTCTAGTCACTTATTAAAATCATCAGGTTCTTTTGTGAATTTGTCTTTTGTCATTTCATAAGAAACTATAATGTATCAACAAGGAAAAACTGTCTCTTCTTCCCCTCACCTGAGTGCAGGACGTCGTCACAAACGAGACTGTGATCTTTGACGTCGCCTCCAGCCCTCAGACTTTGGGACTTTGGGACTTTTTTTTACAAACGTTTTTCACATTTCTAAAGGCGACGTGGATGAAGTGATTTGCCTAAAGACACTGGCGGTGGGAGTGCGTTGCTGGTAAGAGCAGGAATCGAACCTCCAACCACATTTTTTGTTCGTCAATATATCTACAAAATAAAATGGACAACAACGCTCTAGAACTTTATAAACTAAAATGGAAAGGATAAGACAAAACATTTAAAGGCCTTTCTGAGTTTTAAAAGTGCTTATGGTTTCACATTTTGTTCATTGTAAACGGATAAGAAGCAACTAAAAGTAATTTCTGAGTGTGTGTTTGGACTTTAAAAACACTGAGGAGCACCACCTCATGACATCAGCTGGTG